AATAAAGACTGGCCTGTAAATTGGCTTCTTGATTTCACTTAGTTTTCACATGGCAAAACCAAGCCAGGGGGAGGGGGGAATTATTCTGCTGTATAAGTGAACATAGTGCTAAATTTTAATGAAGACTGGGCTGCATTCAGACACACACATTCAAAGATGGAAGGCACTGAACATAAATCTTACTGAATATTAGAAAATTTTCTTCACTGTGAGGATGATTATTATTGCAATAGACTGTCCACAAAAGTACTAGAATAAACTTGAGAAGCCTGATACAACTTAGAAGTTAAATCTAACCTTCAAATCTGGCCTCCCTTTGAGYATGGTATTGGACAAGAATGACTTTCAGAGTCTATAACTCCTGTTTCCAGGTTAGGCCAATTTAGCTACTACTTTCTTTGAACTGTAGTCTCATAAATCCAGAAAGACATTGAATGTTCCTGCTGAWATGTCAAAGAAAAATAAGACACTATTACCAAATTTTAAACAATTTTCTGATACTCAGTGGTTCCAATCTCATCCTGGCATTGTTTCMATTTTGGAAGGTTTCATTAAAAACATTTACCTCAGAATCTGTACACTAAACTACTAAACCAGGGAAAAGTCTGTTCAGTAGGACTAACCAATGACACTTTCTAAATTATGGAAATGATCTTGTTTTGATATGTTTCTTAAATATGAATCACTTTCAGATGTACAAATTGTCAAGATAGTTGAAGACTTTTCTCTCCCATTACTACAAAACAGCAGGCAGGGAATAGCCAGCTGAGTCACTTGAAACAGCAGCAGCAGCTTGGCTTACCTTGCTACTAAATAAGAGTATGAACTTGGTTCACTTTTTGTCTGAATAGCCTCTGTCAAACAYTTTCTCCATGTGTTAGTTAGGAAGAGTAAAACATTTACATTTATCTTATAAAAAGGAGTAGTTTTCATTACTCAATCCTTTTCATTCATAGATTAAGGTGCATACATTTCTGGTTGTGATAGCAGGGGTTAATGTATTAGCACAGGCAGAGTTGCTAATTAATRCTGCTAGAGGTAGGAGCAGGACTTCAGCAGAATTCCTTTTCCTGCCCTTGTCCCTGCTCTGTGCTCATCAACAGGAGTTTGACTGTTCTGGAAAGATGTTTCTGGATCACATTTGACTCTTAATCTTTGCTCCAGCAGTAACAAAGTAAAAGCCCTATTACAACTGATAAGGGCATAATAAGCTGCTGCCATGTAAAATATAAGTATTTTGTGGGGATAGATAATATTACTCCTTAAGCATGCCAGTTCAGGTCAACCTCTTCATAAAGGATGAAAATACRAGAAAACACCTCAAACAAAATGTTCACGTGAAATTAAGCAGAATGACACAGATCTTTCTCCAAAGTTTTCRTTTGGGAGAAAAGGAAGGAAATTGGTTTCTTATCAAATATATTAGCCCACGTAACAAAATAATCGGCCAAAATGTAACATACCATTATATCCCATGTCAGAGAACTAAGAAGGGAGGTTACAGAGTACATAAAAACTGAGAAGTAACAATTTATCAAGGAGTCCTTTGGCTCTCAGCCAGAGTAGGAGCAAGGTCTGAGAAGGCCATTTTCAGCTCCAGTAGTCCAGAAAGGCTCATTTCTTCTGAAGTACAGTTTTTTAGTGTAAGTTACCTCACTGCTGCACAACCATGACAGCTTTGTGACACATGCACTGAACATAACCGGCAAAACTTTCACAGGACTCGAGATGACTGTGCCCATTCCACATGTCACTTGTACTAAGGACTTTGAATGGTTAAATTCTTCAKAATTAGCCTAAATTTAAATAAATTATACCCATGTTTTAGATAATCAGTTGAAGATTTCTGAAGWCCTTATATATAGTCTAACCAGGTAACTGCTCCCCATAAAGGTGACAGKTATCAGCAGACAGCAGTCCTCTACAGTTCAATTAAAAAAATCTTAAAATGCTATAAGTTTAGTATGGTAAGTCTGTCCAAAAGAACTATTCAGTACAGCAAAAGAAAGGCTCACAACATTGCAGCAGAGTTGTTTGCTGTTGCAGAGTATCTTTCAGATTTTTGTGTGTGTGTTTTATACTAGAAGACACTCTTAAGATGCCAAGTTTTCATTCCTGAGTCAAACTGGGGGAATAATCTGTTCCATAAAGTGCCAGAAATCATCCATGAATGCTGGCTTCTTGTATTCCATTATGAAACTATACTTTAGCAAAGGAAATTTCACATGAAACAGGGGCTAGGTAAGAAGTACTGCATTCATTGAAAGTCTCTCAGAAGTATCTTTTTGTTTCTGTTCTTTATTGTCCACTAAAGGTTTGAGTCCACTGAAATGCAGATAAGTATTAAGAAATTTGGAGGGCTTTTCTAGGAGATTAAGAATGGCAGACTGGTCTSGCACTTTGGTGCAAGTTAGCTCCCTCTCTGAAACGGTGTCTTCTGAACACTTCCTCAACAATCTTGGTTCTGAGCTATCCAGATCAGGCTGTCAAATGAAAGGCAATTAAATTACAGTRGCCAAACTTCCTGGAAAGTAAATTAGAAGCAGTCAAAGAAGAAACATTCCATCTGCAYAGCTGTAGAGGCAGTAAATTCTATGAAGTGTAATGACAGCTGGAAAGGGAAGGAAACAGCTTCAGTTTTGCAGCTATTTCTGTAGAGAGCATCTGACTCCATATTCAAACTGATTGTACCTTTTTACTAACAAGCTCCCATTTTATTTCAAAGTAACTAGGAGGACAACAGTAGACAGAGGTACAACAAATCACAGAATGACTGCAGATGGAAGGGATCTCTGAGATCATCAATCCCATCCCTTTGCTCAAAGCATGGTTAACTAGAGCAGGCTAAAGCAGGTTTGAGGCTGTGCCCAGCAGAATTCTGAGTAKCTTAAAAAACAATGAAGGCACAACTTTTCTGGGTAACCTCCTCCAAAGGTCCAACCATGTTTAACAGTAAAAAAGCCTTGTGTTTGACTGGAGTTTCCTTTATTTCAGTTTCTTGCCTCTCCACCAGGCAGTGGAAATCTTTACAGTTGAAATACTGTAAAGAATTTGGCTCAGTCTTCCTTAGTCCCCTCATCAGGTATCCATATACATGGWTAATAACATCCTCCCCCAAATTTTCTCATCTCAAGGCTAAACAGTCACAGCTTTCTCTGCTTCTCCTCTTTCAGATGCTACAGAGTTTCCGTCTGTGGTACTTCTCAAGACCCAGTCCCAGGATGYTGATGTCCAGCTAACCCCCACTGCAAGTAAGTAATAATACAAAGAACCAATTTTAGATTTTTTTTCCTTCTCTTATGACAAGAGGTAAACTCTGTCAAGGCAGACAATTTTGTTAGCTAGCTGAAAATTTGATATTGTGGGTAGAAAAAGATTCAATGATTGATTTAAATTTATGAGCAATACCACAATTGAATTTTGCCAGTATTATGCTACAAGTTGCATAAAACAACTACCTTCAACTTTTTGTTACATTACTAAAACTGCATCTTTAGACTTCAATTGAAGTATTAAGAATKATACCTCTATGGCAGGATCTGTATGACAAGGTTCCAGATACCACCAGAACACAAATGTATTAGTTAAAAAATAAAAATACTGCCTATCACTATTCTCTAATAACCAGAGTTTTTGAGAAGAGAGTGTTGTAAGCCACTTGAAAAGCTCTAATTACAAATCAGATTAACTATAAAGTAATTCTAGTTTCCACTTGCACTTAAAATAAGACATCTAACAAACACAAGGCTATAATAAATCCAATACTACATCCCTTGTATTACTCACTACAATAATGTATTTCATTAAACTACTAGATATATAAAGAAACAATTCAGAAATCTAAATCCTACTTTTTATTTCTGCACTGATTTTTCCTCTGGAACTTCCTGAAAGTTTCTACTTCAACAACATTTGTATCTCATGGTACCACAGTAAGTTGCACAGTCTGAATAGACAGAAATAACAATTTGAGAAGTTGGGCTCATGTATATGATGGAAAGAATGTGCATGTTCAGGACTAGAATTTTGCTGACCTCAAATTGCCTACCTCAGAAATGTTTTCGCACTGTCACAGATGCACTGGACTTAAAATTGCCAGCTTATCTAGGAGGCAAAGTAGACCTTCACCCCATGTCACATCCCAGCCTTTCTGTAATGAGTGTAGTACAAATCAACAGGAACTTCTCATGAGGAGACATCCAATTAGGCTTAGGAAAAAAGAGCTCTGTGATCTCGATTTTCCAAAGACCACCTTCTTGCTTGCTCCAAACGGCAGGAAAATAAAAATAATTACAATATCAAAACTGAATAACCACTGCATTAACTAATGAAAAGAATATGGAACACAACCATCACTGAAGTACTTCTAGGACAGTGCTCTGTTCTTCCTAGCTGAACAAAAACTAGGAAAAAAAATCCAACCAGTACTGGATTTCGGTTTGAAATGATAAGAAAATGCCCTTTCCTAACGGAAATCTGTCATTTTCTTCTCTGATCAAGCTACTTCCCCTGAAGCATTGTGTATCAGCATCTTACATTGCTCATCCTCAAAAGAGCGTTTTGCTTATAAATTTTSTTAAAATGYATTTTAAAGAAATAAGGATCAYATTTCAAAGAGGACCAATCTACCATATGCACACCAAAAGGAAGGCCCTGGTTCTTTCATATTTCACATTATTTCAGTGAAGAGCAGCTGTATAAAAACTTCATGTACAAACTCACTACGTCAGTGCCAAGCTTCCAGAATGATTATCCCTTTTATAACAATTTCTGATTAATGTTTTGAAATTGCAATGCATATTTCTATGCTTTTACATTTAAGGCAAATCAACATCCTGCCTCTTTTTTTTCAGCCACCGTCCAATGTTACATATCTGGATACTTAAGGAACTGAAAGKGTGAGTACCAAGCAACCAACCAATGCTCCCAGCACGTTTAAATGAGAGTGCTTCACACCATTTACTATGGTAAGGCCCTTTTTAAATAAACACGTGACTCACTGTTTGTTTTCTTCACCAGGAGGTGGAGTCTTGCCATGCCCCTCCATTACAAAATCCTCATGTTCCATCTGCAAAGGCAAGCATTGCAGGTCAGAAATYGGTGGAGCAAAACGTGCATCACCTAAAGTGGCCCTTTTCATATGCAACAACTCAAAACAGCCACTTTATCACAGTGGCTGGTCCAGAACAGATCATGTAGTTTCTTAGCAACATACGTAAATCTCCAATGCCATTGCTATGGTATCATTTCATAGCACAAATTTCAGAAAAATCTTGTAAGGGAAAAAGAACAGTTTAATGACTATAGCAGAATACTATCAGTCAAGRTACATGGGTTCTAAGTTCTGCTCTGTTAAGGACTTCCCTTGTAACTCTATGGGTTACTGCTATCACTTCTTTCTTACATATAAAGCAGGAATTTAAAAAAAAAAAAAGGTTTATCAACACCGTTTAAAAAAAAATTAGAAGAAACTTAAAAAGCACAGAAAGAAACTGCTTCAAAAGCATAGTGCTTCTTATAAAAAAGAACTTTTCTTTGAAAAAAGACTTTCACTGCACACAGCTTAGTTAGCAGGGTAAAAAAGAGGCCTAAGGAAACCTCAAATAGATGCTGTTCCAATGACAACATAAGGTAGGCATTTCCTTTGGCTCTCTTGTTAGAAGACTCCAAGGGCAGTAAGGAAGTTTTATTTTAATTGTTCGCTTYTAAAATATTGGTTTTAGCATATATTTTCAGTAATTTCTTTGGGAAGAAAGAAGAATTACATTATATTTGCTCATTCATTAATTATGGGCTCTTCATTTAATCACTTAATTCAGCCAGAAGTTGCACAGGTAGCAAAATATTCTTCTGTTTATATAAATATTCAACACATGCAATTAGTATTTTATATAAACATCCAGACATGCAGTTAGCAATGCTCTGCTTCATGTGAAACCAGCAAACAGGTCATACTGCAATACTCAACAACCCATATGACAAAGCACTGGATCATAATCACACACAAATCCATGATCCACAACGTTAAACTGAAAAGAGGAGAGAAGCACTATTCAGCCAGTTAAGATAACACAGCTAGGCCAGTCTTTGAAGGGGCAAAAAAAACCCCAAACCAAACCAAAATCCATCAGCCACTTCCCCTTGTGCCTCTACCCTCCCCGCAAAAGAGTCAAGTTTACTCATTTGYACAGTACATTGGTACTGTTGTCAGGTCCAAAACACAAAACCCCAAAATCTCAATATTGGCATCTAACAAGGATATGAGAAATTAAGTTATTTGACTGCACAGGCACAGCCCTAAGCAAAACCATGAATGAACCAAAGTGGTGAACTGTAAGGTACTAATGACATCCATTAGACAGACAACCAATCAAACATGTAATTTCACATTTGTAAGCATGTACCCATGTGGTTCACACTCCAAATACCATTTTCATGTAAAAGCAATGTTTGAAAACAAGAAAATTTCAATTTACAGTTTATTAAATAACTTGGACTTGCATTCAGTATTCCCATATCAGACACACTGAAATCTTATTTGTACTTCAGTCCATAAATTACTCACAAGAACTCTAACAGCTGGACTCACACCTGTCTAGCTGAAGAGAAAGATATCCATTCCACTAATCTGTTGTTGAAAATGCTAAARCACCAAGTGCATCAATAGGTAAACTAACTACAGATTTGTGGCCACATTGCAAAACAGCAATGAGTGACAGTAAATATTTGAGATTTACTCTTACACAGGAAGTGTTTTAGCCTGTTACTGGTATGAGACAAGTACAATTCACACGAATGGTAAGCAAGGGAATAGTTCATGGCCAGTACTGGGAAGATGAAATGCAGCCTTTGCGAGTAAAAAGGCACTACATACAGCAAATATAGTGCTAAACTAAAGATTCCCATATAAAACAGAAATTCAGTGTAATGAAGCTGTAGAAAAGATAATGTAATGAAGCTGTAGAAAAGGAGGTATCATTTAAAAAGTGTAAAAGGCAATGATTTTAAAACCAACAAAACTTAGTAATGGGACATTATTAGATGATAATAAAGAAAGCTGAGTGAGAATTGGAACATCTTGTAGACCACCACCAGAGCAAGTCAATGACTGAAGTACTGCTGATAAAACTGTTGCTTTATCATGAATTTTATATGAAGAACACAAGTGACATCCCTGTTCCAGCAAGCTTATCTACCGAAGTTTCATTTCAGAGAGGTGGGCAAATAATGACAAATAACAAAGCACCTGAGCTAAGAACAAGATTGTAGGTCCAGGCACAGTCTCTTTTAAAGCAACTAGAAAACCATATCTGCTTTAAGAAATGGWAATTTCTTAAATGTAAATTTAATTTGCTGTACTTCAGACAGTAGTCAGAAGTATATGAAATTACTAAAATCTGCATAAAAAAAAACTGTAGAAGATACAGTACAATGGAACAGACACAAGAAGTTCACMAAAAAAAAATTAATCACTGAGTGAGGAAGCACTCAGGAACACAGAAACCTTTCGATACACAAAATAAAGATTAAGTGGTAGGGTTTCATTGGTAAATAAAGCAAATAATAAAATGCATCAAGACACTAAAAACGGTCAGGGGAAGATCAGGGAATTGACTATTAATGGACTAGAGTAGACTCTCTTTTTAGAGAGTGGTTAAAGAACCATTCTTGCAGGAAACATTTGGCTGGTCAAACTCAGAGGATAGTGGTTACAGTGTTGGATGTTACCTGGACRATGGTTTCAAGTGGGGTGCTGCAGGAGTCTGCCCTAGGACAAGTCCATTAAATATCTTTACCAATGACTTGCAGGGCCAGTAAGGTATATTCTGRTCAGAATGTTAAGATAAAGTTTAACTCAGGTGAAGTGGATCCATCAACAAGTCTAAAGATGGGGGTTGCTATTCAGACAGATCTAGACAGGTGGAGGAATGGTCCCTGCAGGATTCATATGAATTTAGACAGGACAAACACAAAACACTTGCACCTGAGAGGACCTGGCAACAATACAGGCTGATGACTGGCTGGGGAGCAGTTCTGTGGAAAAGGTCTTGGCATAAAGCAAGCTGATCAGGAGCCAGCAGTGCGCCTTGTCAGGAAAGGTCAGCAGCATCGCAGGCTTTATTAAGAAGAGTCTTGCCAGTAGATGAGGGAACTGATTGCCATCTTACTCAGTGCTTATTATTCCAGACACTTTCTAATGTACCTYGTTTTGGGCCCCACAGTACAAGAAAGACACCCAGGACATGGACATAGTAGCCACCAAAACRCTCAAGGAGCCAGAGCACTTGTCTTGTGAGTAAAGGCAGAGGGAGCTGGGCTGATTCAGCCCTGAAGAGATGGCTTTGGGGGGACCTTAACAGCAGCCTGTTTGTATCAATAAGGAGGTCATCAAGCAGTCAGGCTCACCACAGGGGTACACTATGACAGGACAAGAAGCAATAGGAGCATTCTGGAAACAAGTCCAGAATGGGTATGAGATAATTTATTTTCACCATGAGGACAGTCAAGGACTAGAACAGACTGCCTGGAGTAGTTTTGCTGTCTCCTTGCTTCATGTTTTTTACGGCCAGACTGGGTAAAATCCCTTGCAACCTGGTCTGACCTCATAGGTGACCTTGCTTTGAGCAGRCGGTCAAGACTAGAGACCTTGCAAGGGCCATTTAAACCTGAATTTCCCAGCAATCCTATGAAGACAAGAACAGATACAGTTTAATATTRAGAGATAACGCACATGAAAAAAACCCCTACTGAATTCCCAACCCAGYAAAAGCCTGCACTTAGGTCTAGAAAAGTCTAAGAAAAATATCTTAGAAAGTTGCATAATTAAAGAAACCCAAAATAAAACAGCCACCAAGAAAAGCCAAGCTATGCTGAACAAATAAGACTACAGAAGTATCCTCTTTTAGAATATTGTCTATGCRTTGGCAATGAAAACTCTAAACCCCTCCACAACACTCCAAAAACACGAGAGCTCAGAGTAAAGAAAGGTGTAGACAGAGAGGAGATTTCGCACAAATAAAATCCAACATTAAGCCTGCAAATCTCCCTCAATGAAAGACAACACATCACTGAGGCATACACCAAAAAAAGCAGTTTAACAAAATTGTAACAAACATCCCTTTTGCTATTGCAATATAAATAAAACCCAAGTCATTCTCAAAAATAACACCTGTAAGAGGATACACAGGGAAAACATACTATTRAGCAGACTCATTGAACAAACAAATTGCAACACCGAATTTCACAGCTCTTTGTGGGTTTTATGGTTTTTTTACCTATAGGTACAAAGATTTATTTGTGTATTAGAGGATTTSAAATAATAGCAGTATAAGCTTATCTGTTTCTCGCAACGACATTACTTTCATAAAGAGAAAGGGTAAGCTATATGTAAAGATCATTCAACAGGCCTGATCCAGTGCAGCAATTTCTGTATTCCTCTTTTTGCTGAACCTTGATTCTAATTTTCTTTTGTTTGCCTGCCTATGTTAAGCAATGTCATGATCAGTGATCTGTATTGTTCACTTGGTAATCTGCAGGTTGTAAAACTTTTGCCACAAAGTGCTGCRCAGCTTACTTAATGGTCTAAAACCTCTAGAATAAGCTTATAAAGTAATATCCATTTCAATATTTCTGCAATATTTAGAAAGCAAAAGTCACTTTATTGGRTAGTTCATCTTAATTCAGAGAAATGTATTTGACAAAGAGCCTTCTGAAAACAATTAATCAGCAAACTGCCCCAGAAAAATTCCAAAGGATTCTCTTAATAAAATTTGCTTTTAGGGACAGCTATCTATTAATTAATTTTTATATTGAAAAAACTTCAAAAATTTAAATGTTTAGGTCTTATTTTCCCAATGACAGTAATGACATCATAATGCAGAAAGAATGGCAATGTGGTATTTTAAGTTTTTGAAGTGTAACTATCTGAGGATGAAGAGAGGAACAGCACATAAGAGCCACAGTTAGCTGAAAATACTCTTCTTTTTCTCCTACACCCACAGTTCTTATACAATTCCTATTTCTTCCCCCAAGTCTCTCAGTTTCCCATTACTTTGTCATCAGCCTATC